CAACAGAGTGGGCTCTATAGGCAGCCAGAAGCACCTCACACCTGCACTGACTAACAAGATCTGTGCTACTCTCAGTGTTGCCCCAGGGATTTCCTACAAGCTCTTGCCCATTAACATCCAAGCTGCCATGAGTGGGAAGTGAGTAGCGCTCTGCTAGTCTCTTGACTTCTGCAAGCAAAGACGCAAATTAAGATGTTTTTTTTTAGAGGATGGGTAAGCTTTTATCTACCTTGTTCATTTTCTACAAGCAAGGGCAGCAAGCGCTCCTGGGACATCTCTAAGATCCATAAATTAAAATACCCAGCATTTTTTCTGCTGGTTTCTCCACTGAACTTACAGTTTCAAGGGTCCTAGTACAGCTAGGGTGCTGAGATAAGGGCCTATGAAACCTCCCTGTTGTTTTTCTCTGCAGAGGAGAGGTTTGATTTGGAGGACAAGAAGTGCTATTCAGTTATTCAGCAAATAATTACCATGTGTGCCATACAATTAGCATTTGCTACTCCCATATTCTCAGCTGCTGCTAATGCAACACTCAGCATTAACCTATCATTCCCAGGCTGACAGAAGGCCTACAGAAAACTAACTTCAGCAGTAATACCTATCCCTTATGCATCTATTGGTGGAAGTGGCTCTTGGCTCTTGTTCTAAAGACCTATGGGGAGTCCTAACTTGTGTAATCTCAATTTCTGGGTCTCCTTTCCACCAGAGGATGGTTCCTCTGTTGTGGTATTACACATCTGTCCTGCTATTCTTCCTGAGAAAGATGATGACAGACCTCTGAAAGTGACACAGTCCAGCAATTTGGATGCTCTTCCAGAAGACAACACCAGGTAAGAAAGGCTATAGCCTGAAACTCAAGGGCTAGAGAAAATGGCTTGGAAGTTAGTGGTTCCTCATTTTCCTATGCAGAGCAAAACATAAATGGTTTTACTGCTGTGGTTGCATAGGTAGTAGCAAGAGACAGGGAGATTGTGTGCTGGTCTTGATTATGCATCTTTGAAGACAAAAGGAGGCTGGAATTCTTCCAAGGGAAGAATGAAGTTGGGCAGAATATTTGACAAGCTTTTATGTCTCTCACCTTTGCTGTGCTAGATGGAGTGTTTGAAGGGTACTGATATTCAATATCTGATTGTCATCTGAACGCAGAATTACCTTTAGTTGTAACCACTGAACTCTGCAGCTCCTGCCTGTTCTTGTAGTGTGTGGCCTCAGCATTTTATGGGATGGACCAATCACTGGCTATGGCTGTGCAGAGCAGTGATGGGCTGAGCTGCTTTCCAGAGGTCAGTGGTTCACTTCAGGGATCAGAGCAAAGTCAAAGAGGTCTGTGTAATGTATCTTGACCCCAGCTGACCCAACTGTAATGAGGTGTGTAATTAGTTGAGGAATAGAGCTGGTTTTTTTGTTTGTTTTCAGTTTCGTTGTTTTTGTAAATCTACATAAAGATTTTTTTTCTAACTGTGAAGCAGCTGGATGCCTTCAGAGCCTGTCTCCTTATACACTGAATTAGTTCCAGGCACGTTGGCTTGCTTTTCTGAGGCCAAGGAAACTGTAGGGAGACTGACAATGGGAAGGCAGGAGACAAAAGGATCTTGCAAAGAAAAGCCTTTAAAACTAAAATTTAAAAATAAAAAGCCCTCACTCTTGAATTTTCCCTTATTCTAGTTGATGATATTTGCTGTGCATTATGAATTCTTCTTCTCTTTTAAAAAGATATTTTCTCAAAGGAGGACCAGTAAGACATGTTATTTTTAGAAAAATGCAGCTATTTGCTCTTGACATTGCTATTTCCCAGACTTGACCTCATGGTTAACTGTAGCTATAACTGGGGGAAGAGGAGCTTGCCTATGGCAGGAGCTGTGCAGTGTGCAGCAGCAGGAGTGGGGAATTGCTGTGTCGGTCCTTTTGCCACCAACGGGGAGTGTAGAAGTACCACTATCATGTTCCAGTGCAAGGTGCAAAATGCTTCAGGGCTGATGGCATCTGAAATGCTATGATGGTGAACCATGAAGAGAAAGCAAAAGCATTTCTCCAGGAACCCTGTTGAAGCAAATAATTTAGCTTCGCAAGGGGTTTTACTCTTCCTCATTTATTTCTTTCATAGTATAGTAAACTGTAGACCAACTTTTTCTGTTAGGGACTTCTGCTTTCTGGTTTTTGTTTAAGTACTGGTTACTTTCCCTTGAATCAGCCCTGGTTGCTAATTTCTTGTAACTGTAACCTGACAGTGCTGTTAGAAAGCCCAGTCCTGAGCCTCATATGTTCCCCTATGATCAAAGTAAGCTGAGGATTTAATGCACAGCATGTTGCAAATTTATCCAGAACTGAGTTGGACCCCAATGCTGCATTCTTGCTTTGCCTCAGCATAATTAACCATGGTATTTTCTACCTTACTCTTCAAAAGATGCACTCACTGAGATCAGCATTTGGCCACTTGCAGCAAACACTGCATAAACAGAAGTCAGTCTACCTATTTGGCATGAACTTTATCCCTAAAGCAGACATCTCCATTCTTGGCGTAGAAAACATGAAGGCTTACCATCCTAGTGACTGATCCAGAAGGGAGATGAGCAAAGGCTGGAGAGTTAGAAGTAGTCTGTAACACAGGGAGGAGGTGCACAAAAAGATGAATGTTCTTAACGGAGGTGATGACATCCTTAAATTAAATGCCCAGTGAACTGTATCATTGATTCAATCTGTCCAGATGTTATAAGTTTCAGGGACGGTCTGTCAGGCACCTCAGAAGTGATGTATGTTCCCAAGCCTTACTGCACAGGATTTGTGAAGTCAGTTGAGCAATGAATAGACTGGTTCCAGGCAGCACAATGTTTTCAGTGCTGAAATTGAGGACCACGCAGCCAGACTTTCACCAGAGCTGGCTGAAAAAAGTATTTCTGCCTTAAGGAAGTTCCAAAGCTCAGACAAGCTCCTTTCCAAATGTGGATTATAAGCTGAAATATTCATTTTTTCATGAAAAGAAGCATTACAGATTCTAGAGAAGGGATGTAGGGAGAGGCAAGAAATCTGTTACTCATTCTCAAGAACTTACAGGCTACTGCAGAAAGACAGCAATAGTTTCCTCTTCCTGTCTATGCGTAATACGGGTAATCAGGAGCTTAATTTTAGTTAGGCTATGGCCTCAGGAGCCTCTTTTAAGGTAAGAAGAGAAAAGAGTAATTGGAAAGATGTGAAGCCTCCATCATTGGAAGGCTGTAAGAGCAGATTAAGCAAATGCCAGTCAGGAATGGCTACAGTACAGGTGATTCTTGAAATAGGAGGAGAGGGAAGAGATCTCAAGGGAAGATTGAGGGCAGACTTGCCTTATTTTTATTTTGGCCTCACTGAAACCTTTTGCTCTTTACTATGTTTCATTTTAGAGCTTATAACTGTCTGAAAGGGATACAAGCTTATGCTTTGTATATATATAATTACCTTAAAATGTACTATATAACCATTAATTTACCAAATATACCATATAAATTATGGTAATTCATTTATGTCTAATTAACAAAGTTGACATTCATTAATTGCCTGTGTGAATTCTAATTATGTTCTCAGGAAATGTTGAGACTCAGCAAAAGCACTGCCTGTTTACAGGGCAAATGTGATCTTGCAAGCCATCTTTGCACAGAAGTTGTCTTAAAGCTAAGATTTGTTTAAAAGAAGCTGTTTTCTGGTATTTTAAGTGATTTATGTCTCAGTCAAGAGAAGAACAAGTAAGCATTTTGAGTCATGATGGCTGGTCCCAGAACTTGGCTGGAAGACAAGAAGTGCTGTGAAATTGCTCATTGCGAAAGGCTTCCGCTCTACCCAGTAGGTTTGCTTTTGTTTTGCTTAAGTGAAATCCCACATTGAGACAGAGGAGCCTTCAAGCCACTTGTTACAAATCTCCCTTCAGTTCACTTTTCTTCCTAGAGCAGGGTGGTGCAGTACGTGTCATGGCCCAAGAGCTCTAGCACAGAAAGACACTGAGTTATTTACAAAGTACAATTTTGCCTTAGTAGAGCAAGAGTTGGTAGATGGACAGAGTTCTGCATCCACTGCAGGCTTTGTAAAGTGGAAACCCTATGTTCACTCCCCAGTTCAGAAACTTGCTATTAAAGCCATGCTGTGTCTTGTCTTTTTATTGCTTTTTCATAATTAAAATCACCTCTCTTGCTGACTTTGTGTGCAACAGATTGAACTAGATTGCATCTTGTCACTGAATTTTCTTAACAAGTTGAGAAATCCCATGTATCTGGTGTACAACCAGTGCTGGCTAGGCTGTTCCTGCTCTGTGCTGGTCTAAATTGGTACCTAGCAGAAGCAGGGATGTGTCAGACCCCTCGGTTCTCCGCAGACTTGGGACACTGCACAGTTATTTAGTGTTTTCTCCACCCTAAATAATTGAAAGGGTGGGTCCACAGAACAGTGTCAAAGGTGAAAGACTGGCTCTAAGAGAGACATTTTTCTTTGGGGAGTTGTTTGGTACTGATGGGTACTGATAGCAGTTGAGCTGGCTCCTAAGCATGAGGAACAAAACCTCCCCCTCCCCTGAATAGCAGCAATAGCTGCAAAGACAGCATAACAAGCTAAGTACCAGGTGAAAGTGAGCCAGAAGACATTAAGTACTATTGTCTAGGTGCACCCAGGCGTACATCACATATGCTACAGTTCAGCAGGAAACTCAGGCCACTGGACTGGGACAGAAGTACCAGTATAACAGGAAAAGCCCTAGAGAAATGTGTCAAAACCAAAATATGGGTGAGACAGAAGGTTTTTGCTTGTTTCAAATGACAACGTGTAAGGCTAACACTCTTGATAACCTCTTATTCAGTGAAGAGTTTGGATTTCATCTTCAGGGTAAGATCAGATGTTGTGCTGAGATACCACACCATATTCAGCTTTACCAACAGCTGGTGGCACAGAGCAAACCAGCTATGCCTCATGCTCCTGTTGGAGCTGCAACTGTTTAAAGAAGGAATGGAATTAGACTGAATTGACTCAATAAGAACCAGATGTATCAAAATACAATTTATTCTTAAAATAGCTAGTTGACACTTAACAGCATGGCTTACATTAAAAAAAAAAAGTGCAATTAGTGGAAGAGACAGACTTCTTCTTAGCATTTATCTTCTTATTATACTGCAAGTAGCTTCAGACTCAGGCTATCTTACAAGTCACATGTATTTTGATGTTAACATCACTTCTGTACAGTTAAAAGGGTGCCAATATTTACAACTGCTGAGTATGTGCTAGACAATTTCCCACACAAATCTTGCATGAAAAACACAGACCATGTTTACAGTTTGACAGCTCAGGAAGCTAAATTACAAGCAGATGATATAAAATACACGCTTGTTTAAAAAAAACTTCTAAAATGAGGTACAATAAAACTGAGCAGCTTTCTATTTATGTGCAAGCCTATATTCATTCTAGAAAAAAACTAGCAGCAATTCTGCTCTTTAAAAGAAATTAGCTTTCATCAACTGCAGCTAATTCACTGTCTTCAATATGAAGGACCTTTCCTATGTTACACACTTTTCAAAAGTTCTCTCTGACTCTGCAATAGGGAGCAGGATACTCAACCATTAGGTGTTGTAAGACTGGATCAGGAAATGAGTGAAATCACCTAATGCTGCCACAGGCTAAGACATTTACAAATCACTCAAAGTCTGTACACTAACCTTGGCTTCAGCCTTTACTTTTGGCATGTATAGTAACTGTTTTTTAAAGGCACATTTTTCTTTTAACATTAGAAGATAACAATCAGCCTGACAAGTAAGTAAAATGATGGAGGTAGAAATCAAGGTTAGATTTGATCTTAAATGCAAGATATCCATTATTCCCAAGGCCAGTGAGGTCAGAGATGTCTTCCCAAAGTCACTTCCACCACTCGCTTTGCATCATTTTCTGTGTTCTCCTTTTTACCATAAACTTTTCCTTTCCTTAGAAAGCCAGTTTTGAAGACATCAACACATTGCCATCTCCAAGTTAGGCAGCACATCTTACCTCTTCCCCTTCTCCCACTTTTCCATTATCCACTCCAAGTTTCCTAACCCTTATTGAAGCCACAAATCCTAGCCATGCAGTCCTACCTGTCACTGCTACAAGCATGTAGGTCATTTGCAAGCCTCGGTCCTGAGAGCACTGCCTCAGCTCTGCTGCACTAACAGGCACAAAATGGACTGTGATGTTCTGCTTCTGTGACAACACCTCTGTGCACACACACACATACAGCTGCTACAGCTTGCTAAGATACTGTCACCTTCCATGGCTCCTAACAGAGTCTCCTGCCTAATGACTCAGGAGTGATAACAGCAGAAAGCAAGTAGCATATACTTAAGATACAGGCATGCTATTTCTAGTAGTTGGTATACACATGGGTTTTATCTTGTTTGTCTTTATTTCCAAGGTTGAGTTTTGGCTAAGAACTTCAATAACATAATATGGCTTAACGAGTCCCACAGACTGCTGAGTTTAGAGTTGCAAAGGCAGCCACACCTACCAGTGGTTTTGTTATATAGTTATGTGAACCAGAAAGCTAACGCTGGTTTGTTGCCAAGTGGAAGAACACTTCCAAGCTAGTGTCTGTCACCAATATGGTGATGAATTTTCAATCCCACCTGAGCTCTGCCACTGGGGGAAGAGGCCACTGGACAGCCTTGGGCTGCCAAGATGATCGGGCTCTCTCTCCTGCCCTCTCCTTGGAGTTGGAACATCAAAACAGTCTTTTGTGGCAGATGGTATCCGAACACCATCAGATTTCCACTCTGCATGGAGAATCTTGTAATTCTGCCCCTCATTATTGTCCCAGAAGGTACGCTCTCCACTTTGGTAGGAAATGCAGAACTCTATTTTCTCTTGAGAAGGAATGGCAGGAGGCAAGTCAACTGTGAATGAGAAGGTATCATTTTCAGAATCACCATAAACATTGTTCATGTATACACACTCAACGTCCGTGTAAGTCTTCCACGTATCAAAGGTGATTCGAACATGAACCTTCTTCTCAAAGCTCACATTTTTTACTTTCACAGTGCCTGACAACACCTTCTCTTGAAGGCTGCAGTTCTCCAGACAGACCAAGTTCTTTTGCAGGCGGTTCCTGAAGTCCAGGTAGTCAGCTGAGGGACGTGGGAAATCCAGAATCAAGTTTTTCTCCTCATGAAGCTTCAGGTTAGATGTTATGCTTTCAAGACCTATAAGATCAAACTGGAGGTCCCAGCCAGGGTGCTCCTGGATGTCTGAGAAGGTGTGTATTGCTGTCAGGGAGAGCCCCTTTGAGTCTGCAAACACAACTCGCTTCTTGGCTCGGGCTGCTGAGTGGTTCCAGTCACTGTTCTGTGCCTCAGAGTCACGTCTCACATGGAGACATGGTCTGAGAGGTTTAAATCTGTTCACAAAGTTATTTCTCTGGCAGCTCTCAAGGGGGCTGAGGAAGCTCTTCAGTGGTGGTGAATGGGCTAGGCAGATTCTCATGGCCACATCCACAGGCATGATGGAGTTTGGCAAGGGTCTCGGATCTAAGATTTGAATCATTCTGAAATGAACAGAAAGACAGCGTGTTATTTTTTGTTACATCAGGGAAAAGCTTGTTGAGAATGCATATTTGTCTTAATTATTCATGACCTGCTCTTTGCACAGCTTTAAATAATGCAGCCTAAATTAATATTGACAGTTCAAGATAGGAAACAGAATGAACATACTGTCATTTCTTTACAGTTCTGCAATCTTTCAATACAAATGTAATCTCATTTGCTTTTTCTAAACCTCTGAAACATGGATTTTAGTAACAGCTAATTAAACACATCTTCCTGAAGGTGCACAAAAGGACATTCTAGTGTACCAGTACAAAGAGATCGAGTTACAGTGAAAGTGCTCATCCACTTCAATTTCTTTCAGAGACTGAGCTGGGTCTTCAAATTCTAACAGACTGGATCAGCTGCTGCATTTAAGCAGACAGCACTACATTAATCAAGTTGCCTACCCCATCAGAGCAACAGCTAGGATGCTATGTACCACATCACCCTAGAACTCTGAATAATCAGAAATGCATTTGTTAGGCAATTTGGCTTTGGTTAAATCAGGTATGAGCTATTAACCTAGGTCTAGTTAAGAAAGCTGGTTTGCACTGTGGACATTGCTGAGTAAATGGGGGAAAGAATAAAGGCGCTGAAGGAGAACTTTTCTTCACTTATGTTTTGAGTATTTATTAAAAACAGCCCTTATATCCCCCAAAATCCATGCCTAACACCTACTGCAAGCATTTGATAAGAACGCTACAGCTTTTTTTGTTAAAATTTATTCCTAAACCTGCCTCTCAAATGATGAAAACCGCAATTATTTTACAAAATGCCCTCAAAAATATGATTTGGGTTTTGGATGGTCCTACATGGAGCCAGCAGTTGGACTCCGTGGTCCTTGCAGGTCACTTCCAACTTGGGATACTCTGTTATTCTTTGACTCTAAAACCACGGTCAGTCAGCAGAAGTATTTGCAGAAGGGGCTCCTACTGCAGTGCATCTTTTCTGGTAAAGATCCAATCCTTGCTGGCAATATGGATTTCTGTTGAGTCATGGGAAGCAAGAGCACTTGCTTTGTCACTTAAATAAATGGCATTCTCCTTCCCAGTGTTCTCACTGGTACTCCAGAGCATTGCCAAAAAAGCACAATCTGCATTGACCTCTTCATTCTTCTCCTTGTTTGTTTTTTTCCCTGTCTTAAACGGTGGCAGCATTTACCATAATAGGTATTGGACTACCAGCATCAGATTTATCAAGTTTTGTTTGGCTTTTAGCAGAAACAGGATTGTATTCTCTCCAGTTTCCATGACCAGCTCCCAAGGTTATACAACATTAAAAACAAAACAACAACAAAAAAAAGCACAATGGAACAGCTACACTGCTAGGAGAGGCAAAAACCTGCCAGCAAGAGATGATGGGGTTCAGCAGCATTCAGAAGGCAAGTGTTAAGTGCTTCTGCAAGCCTGGTAAAAATCAGAGGAGCACAGTGCAAGTTTTGAGGTTTTATTCTCCAAAAGGATGAAGATCGATTTTACTCCCCCCTCCCCTTTACTTACTTCCTTCTGCGGGGCTGGAAGCGCACGCTAGAACTGAACCGAGCGAGGGCAGGCGCGGGGCAGCGGTGCCAGCGGCGTCCCGGGCCGGCGGCGCTCACCTGCAGCAGCGCACGGCCAGCGCGCTGCAGTTCCTCCAGAGCCCCTCGCGCCGCCGCCTTTATACGCCGGGCTCGGCTCGGCCCGGCCCCGGGGCGCGGCGCGGCGGGGCTGTGCGTGCCGGGGCCCCGCGGGGGGGAGGGGGAGGGGGAGGGAGGCCGCAGTCGCTCCACGTGGCCGCGGCTGCGGAGCGGGCGGCGCCGAGTGCCGCCCGCTGGGGCTTCTGCGATTGTTATTGTTTGCGCGGTGTGATGCTAGCCCCGAGGTGTTGGCGTGCTGTTGCTTTCTGATGCATCGAGGGCTCTCCTCTCCCCACCGCCACTCCCATCCCGCAGAGTCGTTTCCAAAACTGCTGTGCTTGAAATAACTTCAATATTCTTGCCCCTAAGGGCCCGGAGCCCTGCTGTGTTGGCTCTCTACGGTCGAGGGCGCTAGCTGCGTTGGAGGATGCTTGTCTCGCAGCAGTGTTTGGAATGGGGAGCTCTTTGTCCCACTCAGACTGCCTGCACCCCTTGCATCCCTTGGAAAGGAGAGGGGGTGACGTGGCCTCAGCACGGCTCGGGGGCGGCTGGAGCTTCGGATGGCAGTCACTGATAGCAGGCCTTTCCCAGAGCTAGGAAAGCAAATTGGTTTGCTGTATGGGACTTCCAAGTGAATATTGTTTAGAGTGTCAATGTGGGGCTTCTTCCTGTTGCTGCTTTAGCAGGATGCAACCTAGCAGAACAACAATAACACCAGCTTGAAACTGCAAACTGTCAGATTAGATGAAAAGGAGCTGCAGACCTATGTTGTCAAGGTCTGAAGTCTGTCATCCTGGGCTACACCTGCCTTTGTCTAACGTGACAGAACCAGAGGTTTCATTTGCATGGTGCTGTTCACCTCCTGCACACGGTGTGAGGGTGCTGGAGGTCCTGCTGTACTTCCCACGTTGTAGCTGTTAGCTATTTCAAGAGCAAAGAAATAGAAAGCAGAAGCACGCGGCCTCTGCAGCATGACCACAGCCACACCATCACTGCCTGCCCCCACGGCTGTGTTAACCTGATGTGGCTGCATGGTTTCACTGTCACCTTCCTGCCCGCTCTCTCCCAAGGGCAGCCCTGCACTCATGCTGTACAATGTGATAATGAGTCTGTGAGCTATTCTGAGCTTTAATCAGTAGATGAGTCTGTGCACAATGAATAGCAGGAAGCACTAGGCTCTACATGAAGCAAAGCGAGCTTACAGTAAAGAAGAATAGAAGATAACAAGATTTTTCTGCTCATCCAAATTATTTTTCTTTACATGGTTTGTGAATGAAAGGCTCTACTGCTGTGTGTGAGGTTGTTAGGAGACAGCTCATAGGTATAGCAGGTGACAACAATGCCTTCATTTTGGATTCAGGCTGCATAGAAGCTGAGAAAAAGTCTGGAGGGAGAAGTCTCTTCTGGTGACTGAAGCGTGGCACGCAGACCTGTACACTGCCTCTGTGTGTACAACGAGGGCATTCATAGGACAGAAGGGCTTCAGTTCCTTAGCAGGACTCTTGGTAACTGAAGTTCCTGTCCTTTGTGCCAGTACGAGACACTAGATGTCACCCAGTTGGAACCTGAAGCACTACCTGGCAGTGCAGGCAGGGATTGGGAAGGTTCTGTCCTATTCCCTGGTGCCACCTATTCAGGATGACCTTCCCTGATCCTCTGCTCCCCATGTCACATCCCTCCTCTCCATTTCCTTATCTCCTGATGACTGCTGGCTCCCTCTCAATGGCAGATGATATTTCCTCATTGTTTGCTTAGGGAATGTGCCAGAGAACTGCTCTTCAAACCCTATGGGTTGCAGAGTGTCTGGGTTTTTTTTTGTCTTTTGTGCTACAAATGCTTCTGCCAGGGCTTGAAATTGAGGCCCAAGACCCCCAAGGGCATAAATGGCTGGCACTTACTAAATGTTCTGTATTTACACATTTTAAAGCATGAGTGAGCAACTCAAGAGAGGTGTAGTGAGCCTGTGCTATTGAAGCTGTTGTCCCATAGAACCACTAGACCATATGGGACCACATCCACCTGCAACAGCCCACAGCTGGGCTGCGCTTTCCATGTGCAGGCCACAGATAGGACCTGGGCAGCTGTTTTATTCCAGGCTGATTCATGCTTGAAGCCTGCACACAAGTGGTTGCGCCGAAGTACCCTTTGCTGCACATGTTTCTAACTGCTTGCTATATTTTTTGCCACTATAAAATGTTTTATTCCTGTTGGGTTTTAATACTCATTTTTTCCTGGCTTAGAAAACTTTATCAAAGATTATTTAAGGTGATACGCTAAGAAAAGAAAAGAAAAGAAGAGAAAAGAGAAAAGAGAAAAAGAGAAAAGAAAAGAAGAGAAAAAAGAAAAGAACAGCCAACCCAACAGTAGTGAGATGCAGAGCTTTTCATGGACATGCTGTTGCCCAAGTTAGTAAATATGGACTGCACACAGCAGCTCAGTGGCTACTCGGTGACCCGAAGCCCCGTTCATGGCCACAGCATGCTGCTCCAGTTTCTGGTTGCAAGCAGAGAGGGCTGTGCAGAGCCAGAACTGCTCTTTCCTCACCTGAAGAGATGTCCCTGCACTGAGGCACACTGCTGGGGTTACCTGAGGTAGTAGAACAGTTTGCACTGTCAGTGATGGTCTTCTATCTGCACTTTTTATAGAGGACTCAGGTTTCTGGTTATTTTGGTTCAGCAGCTCTCCTGTCATCGGAAGCTTAAAAATGTAGATTTGTCTGCCCATCTCCTGTTTCAAACAGAGCTGCTAAAATAGGAGCAGCTCCAGAGGAAAAAAAATGTTGTCTCACTGTATGTTTGACAGCACTTTGTGTCATAGCCACTTTCCTGACACTTGTAGGAGCACACAGAAGAAAAGCACTGCTGGGAGAGGCAAGGGGGTGACATAGCAGGTGGCTGTACCTCACTGACTCTAGAGCGAGTAAACCAAAACTGACCTCTTGTACTACTTCTGGCCCTTTTTCTGAAAATGCTGCGTTTTAAGTGTAAAAGCCTAATTACAATAAATGAACTGTAGTAAATTATCATTGTAGTTTCAGAAAATGTTAGTTGTATGCTTTTTCAGAATGGTTTGCAGTCAACATTATTCCCATTATTCCCAGACCAGGTAGCACGCAGGCTGGCTCCCTGGTGGGCCCATGGAGGTCGCTGCTTAGGCAGGCAGGCAGGCAGGTTCGAGGTGTTCTGCTCAAAGACCAGCAGCATCAGCTCTCCCGTGAATGCTTGTTTATGCAGACAGTATTGCAGCTCTGCTGTTTGTTCTTCACTTGCCTAAACCAGCCAGCTCCTTTTTCAATGAGTGGCTTTTAGAGTAGGTAAAAAGTGATTCGGTTTCTGTCAGCTATCCAACAGCTTGGTCATTCGTTTGTTGGCTCTGGTCATTTCATGGCAGAGGAGAATGAAAAAGCTGCTTCTCTCAAACCATTTTTCAAAACCGAGTAATTAAGCAAGTTTCAGTGGTTTACTATTTGTCTTTATTACTTTAAGTTGCTACATTGTCATCCTCCTGCAGCGCTTCAGGAGGGAAGGAAGGAGATATATTGCAGTTGTGAGTATGGAAGAAGTTGGATGGACTTTAGTGTTTAATTGAAGCCTTTGTAAGCAAAGATAAGAAAGCATTTCCTGAGAGCATCGTTTGGTCATAACCGCATTTATGGAATAAACCTCAGAGAGGAAAAATTATACATCTCCATTACTTGCATAACAACATATCCCTTGAAAAATTGCTGCTGTTTGCAGGGTCAGAGTGTAATGCTAGCTCAGTACAGCAATACTATACAATTTAACAGAGACGTTCTTGATTTGATTTTAGGCTTGAGGCTAAAATCAATTGCTAATCCAAGGCACAATACTGTGGCTGCTAGAAAACAGAAAATACCCATCAGATTTTAGCTGGCACGTACTTGGTTCCCACAGCATTACTCAACACACATTAATAAAGAAGGGCTTTAATAAAAGAGTATCTGTGGTAGCATAGTCATGGCCCATCAGTTTGGGGGACACTGCAGTCACACAGAGCTTCCACTGGCCATTTATTAAATTGAGCTCTTATGTTCAATATCAACTCTCTGCTACCAAGAATAATCTTTGTAAATGGCTATTATCTATGAAGTTGGGCAGCCGGTTTCTATGACCATGGTTGTGATGCAAATAATTATTCAGGTATGCATCAAGGCTAGGAAAGTCCAAACTAAGTTGAGCTTGTGGACCTTTAAAAACATAAAATCAGTGATTTATCAGATGAAATACAGTTAAAAGCTTGGTTTAGTCTTAGCAGAATCTTATTTTCTTTACTTACTTCTCAAAGCCTTTTAGTGAACTTTGAGAATGCTTTATGGTTACAAATGTGGACCAAGAAAACTATTCCTGGGAAACTCCTTTGTTGTTTTAGGGATTTCTTTAGCACTGGCACAGTCTGCAAAAGAAATAATTAAGTTTTTATCTTTTTGCAGTCTTTATTATCCCATATCTCATGGCATGAATCACAGAAAATCTAGAAAAAGTACTCCACTGACCACAAATGAATCACTCTATGGAAGTGCATTGTTATCTGAAACAGCTGTCATAGAAAGGCAAAGAATATCATAAACCGATTAAAAGTTTGTGTAATGTGATTTTGTTAAATTCAGGATATTTCAAGCGGGATTTCCTTACATAACATTTTAAAATATGTTGTCTTTTGAAAGTGTAATTGCTTTGTTTGCATGTAGTAAGGTGTACCTGAAAGAAAACTTTCATATATTGCATAGACATGTACAAATTAGAATACATATATATCTGGCTTATAAGTTTTTGAGAACATAAAGATTGTCCTAGATGTCTGAAAGAAATACAATATTTCTTTGTTAGTATTTCAGTATTTTTGGAAACAAAATTTCTTTTAATTTGTAACCACACATCCAAAAAGATTCTGTGAGATTCTGTTGTCAAACATTCCATACATATAAATCACATTGCTGTGTATAAGTAGTCAGAATTTATTCTTTTTTCATCGAGCCAGGTGGAGA